CCGCCCCACCCTTCGGGGCGCGCCCAGGCTGGCCTGCCGAGCGCCGAGGGCCACAAGCGAAACGCGCGTCCAGGTCCCGCGGGCTGGCGGCTGCAGCCTTGGGGAACCGCCCGCGCTCCCCGACTCGCGGATGCATGCATGCACGCAGTGCGCCGAGCGGCCTCCAGCTGCTGCCCCCGCCCGGGCCCGGGACATCCTCACAGCTAGGACAGGAATCCTCCAGCCACACGCATCCACCTTAACAGCATCCCAACTCCTAGAGCCCCGACGGGAGGAGCTAGGACCTGCCCTGGGACTCTGCCCCATTCCCTTTCCTGGAGGTCTCTCCCTCCGGGTCGGGGATCCTGGAAGACACCTGGTCCCAACCACTAGGATCCCCCCAACATCATCCTGGTATCCAGCTATCTCCCGATGTTGCTGTCCCCCAGTCCTAGGGAACCCCCAAATGGCCGGTACCACATTTCAAGCACCGCTCTTTTCTCACTCCCCAACGCCAAACCAGTTGTCCCCAACTGTTCCTTGACAGCGTGGGTGGGGCCAGAGTGTGACCGTTGCCCCCCCCCCCAGCCTGGCCCCCGCCCCCGCCGGTCCCCTTGGGGAGGCGGGAGAGGCTTCTAAGGAAAGCCATGCAGGGCCAGTGCCCAGACCTATCCCTAATCTTGGACATCTTCACTCAAGGCAAGGCTTCCAGGATCTTCCTAACCACTCCCTAATCCCCCCAGCTCCAGTCCTTTCACTGTTCACTGAAAGCCTGGTCACAGCTCTCCCTTCCAAGGACAGGCCAGGGAAGTGCCAAATTCCTCACACTCCAGTGGCTTGGTCACACTGAGCACATGCTCCTATCCTTGGAGTGCCAGGTAAGGGGTATGAACCTGACATGCAGGCCTCTGCCAGGATGACAGAGAAGGAAGGAGGCAGGACCAGAGCCTACAAACTGCCTCTTGCACCCCTAGCCATCCTCAGAGCCAGCTTCGCCTCCCAGCCACCCCTGAGATACTAAAAAACCAAGCCAAGCAGGTGAACTGAAGACCTAGGGGTCAGCCTTCAGCAGAGGCAAGAAGCCTGAGGTCACATCCCCACTCAGCTTATCCCTAAGGCATGATCTTAACCAGCCACTATCTTCTCTGTGCCTCAGTCTCCTCCACATATAAGGGAGGCAGCTTAGACAGCCCCACCCTTCCCTTTGCAGATTCCCAGGTGCCCTTCAGCGGGCTTGCAGATGAGTCCAGCTAAGCCCAGAGTACAGATCTAGGTACGACCCTAGAAGCTGAAAACAGCCCCAGGATAATTCCCCGTTTAGACACCCCCCATTCCTCAATACCCGCTACTCCTTACAGCTGAGTTCTCTGCCTTGTTTTTTTTTTTTTTTTTTTTTTTTTTTTTTTTGTCTTTTTCCGTGTTCGGCAACACTCAGTGTCGCCCCCGTACTGGACCAGGACCAGCAACGGGATTGCAACCCTCGGTGTTGCCCCCGCGCCTCGCTCAGCCAGTGAGCGGGAACCGGTCTGTATGTGGGATCTGAGCCCTCGGGCGGGAGCGCCGCCGCGCTTCCCAAGCCGCGCACTACAGCAGTGGGCCACCGGGCCGGCCCTCTCTGCCTTGTTAAGGCTCCTGCAAAGTCAGGCATTGCAAGGCTGGTTCCTTCACTTCTCCCCTCCCTCTGTGGTGCCCAGCCTTGGGCTTGTTCACCAAATATTACTGCTGGATTTTGCAAGCAATCCTCTACTGAAGACACCATCAGCTCAAATGTCCAGCTTTGCCACTGTGTGGCTTCGGCAAAGCAGATGACCCACAGTTTCCTTATCTGTAAAATGGGAACACACCATCCTTATTCCCACAGACTTATTCTGAGGCTTAAATGAGATGATACAGATGGAAACTATAGCACATAGCTAGTGCTCAATTATGGGAGGGGTTTATCAGTGCTGCTGGACAAAGCAGGCATTGGTTGAAAATCTAGACTCTAGATCGGCACTGTCCAATACGATCGCCACTAGCCTTATACGAGCCACATGTCAAGTGCTCAACAGCCACACGTGGCCTGTAGTAACCCTATAGAACAGCAGGGATATCTAGAAAATATTTCCATCATCTCAGAAAGCTCGATCTTGACAGTGCTGCTCAAGATAGAAGATGTCATTAAGAGCAAGAAATCTGGAAACTGACTGCCTGGTTTCCAACTCTCAGCTACACCCTTCCAGCTGTGTGACCTCGGGCAAGTTAATTAAGCTCTCTGTGCCTCAGTCTCCGCATCTGTAAAATGGGGATAACAACCACCTCATAGGGTTGTTGTGAGGATGTAAATGAGTTCATGTTCCTAAATTCTTAGAACAATGTCTGGCTCCTAGTAAGAGCTCAATAAGCATTTGTTAAAATCACTGTCAGGAAGGGCAGGAAGAAACTAGATCCAGAATGAGCCCTGGCCAGCCCGTAAGGTGAAACAGAAATGACTCCTAAGGGGCAGGGTGCTTGTGAGGATAGTTGTCAACATACTTCATAGAGTGACTCGAAACACTTCCAGGAAAGCAGAGTGGCTGCCCCTACTGCCACTCCTCCATCCCTCTGGGCCCCTGGGAAGGGTCAGGGCTCCAGCCCAGCCTGCCCCCTCCCCTTACCATCTCCGTAGGCCGGCCCAGGGTCCTCAGCCCAGGTGGGTGGGAAGGGTACTGTGAGAGGTAAGCGGGGCCGGCGGGAGGTCAGGAAGCTGCCAGTTGGACCCCCAGGCTCGTGGCCCAGGGGGCTGGGAGGCCGCTCAGCGGCTGAGGTGGCCAGCAGCTCCTGCAGGATGTTGATGGGTGAGACGGTGAGCTCCCAGTTGGTGATGCCGAAGTCACGCAAATGGGCCCGGGCATGGCTGGAGAGGCCCGCCCGTGTGTCGAACCCGGCCCCGCAGAAGTCACAGCGCATCAGGCTGAAGGTGCCTGGGTCGAAGTTCGCCACTGTGGAGAGAGGACATGGACTGCCTGGGCTGGAGGTGGAGCAACTTCTCAGTCTCAAGCCCTCCCAGATCCCAGGGCTTCTCGCCCTCTGCAGATGGACTGCCTTCCTTCCGATTTGCCAAACCTTTTGTTCCTGCCTGCTGCCTGCCCCTTGGCTCTCAGCTTATGGGACCCCTGCCCCTCACCACTCCAGGAAGCCTGACTCCCAGTTCTCCCCTTGCACATCTGGCAGCGTCAGGGGCCTTTCCCTCAGAAGCACTTCTCTAGTTGCAGATTTGCAATCACTTGGGTGAATATTCAGTGAACACCTTTCTCATATCTTTTTTTTTTTTTTTTTGGTGGCTGATCAGTATGGGGATCAAACCCTGGACCTTGGCATTATCGACACCATGTTCTAACCACCTGAGCTAACTGGCCAGCCCTTCTCATGTCGGTTTTTGCTCACCACCACCCTATTGCTGTAAATTAAATATTTGTTTGATGAAGAAATGGACAAATGGACATGACACCCTCCTCTGGGGGCTTTCTCTGAGCCCTCAAAGTGGAGTCCCACATCTCTCAGCTTCCCCAGCCTCATGGTCCTCCAACTTTTCCCATCATAGCCCCGTCATCCCACGTCATAACCGACTGGTTTCCTGGCTGTCCACTCTTTGCCCCTCACCCCGAACACATACATATTCTCTCTCTCTCTCTCTCACTCAGACACCACACCAGCACCTCCCCAGTGGGCTCCATGTCTCCCAACATCAGAACCACTCAGGGCACTCCTGTTGGAGACAGACCTCCAGAACCAGAACCTTGTTGCATGCGAATCTGCAGACCTCATAGGCAGCCCCAGGGAGTTCTGAAGGCTGCCAGGAGTCCAACCACTCCTGGACTACGCCATGAACTCCAAGAGAACAAGAACTGCTGTTTTGTTCACTACTGTGCCCCCAAGTGCCCAGAACAGAGGGGATTCTGCTCAATACATATTTGTCAAATGAAGTTCTCTGCCTGGGCTGACTCCTCTGCCCATACTCCTTCCTCCAGCTCCTACTGTAATGGCCAAGGCATTGGGGCATCCCCACACTTCCACCTTGGCTCCCAGGTCTCTAAGGAGGAGAGGCCCCAATTTCACCCTGCTTGGTGCTAAGGGAGGGTTTAGAGTCAGGGTGGATTGTTTTAGAATTCGGCTGCCCAGCTGTGTGTCTCCCAGACCTTGGAGGGAGGTGGGTGCCGAAGAGAAACCACCCTACCTTTTTTCTTCTTCTTCTGGAAGGAGAACCTGCGCTCGATGGCCTTCACCTCCTCAGCAGAGATGAAATGCCGCACATTGTAGCTGACGCCCACACGGTTCAGGTGGCCCCGCACGTGGTTGGCCAAGCCGATACCATTGTGGAAGCGATCTGGGCAGTAGGGGCATTTCCGCTCCTCGTGCTTCAGTGCCATGGCCGGGTCCCCATCCAGGAGTGTGTCCAGGAGCAGGAAGTCCAGGGGGTGGGCACCCCCCAGCCCCAGCTCCTCCGGCTGCAGCCTCGGGGGTACCCTGGCCGCCGCTGCCATGACCTGTGGCCCAAGTTTCACCACAAGCACTATGGGCACCATCCCTCGGAGCTGCTGCTGCTGTGCCTGTGAGGCCTCAGTGGCCTGCAGGGCTTCTCGGAAAGTCCGCTTTAGCTCTAGGGCCGGCTGTGGGATGAGGCTGGGGGCAGCTGGGAGTGGAAAGATCCCATTTTCAGGGGAAAAATCCATTTCGGAGGTCAGTGCTACATCCACGTCATTGTCATCGTCCTCCTCTTCGCTCCAAGGGCGCCTCTGGTCCCCCAGGGCCTGCGGGTGGACGATGCTTTTGTTTCTGCTGAGCTGTAAGGAGTACGGGGCGGAGGCTAGTGGTGAGGGAAAGGCCAGCCTTCTGAGAGGCCTCTGGCCCGAGCCATGCGGGAGTGGCTTTGATGGGGGGAAATCCCTCATGCCCAGCTGCTGGCAGCCTGGGCCAAAGGCTAGGCCAAGGTTGTATCCAGCAGGGTTCTCCTGCCACGTGGGGGCCAAGAGTGGCTCAGCTTTGCCAAAGTAATCCACAGCGGCGTCAGGGAAGCAGGCGTAGGCATCCTGGCTGGTGCCCGGCTGGCTGGCTGGGTCTTCCTCGAAAGCCTCACCATCTTCCTCCCAGTGGGGATGGGCATGCACAAGTCTCACGTGCTCCCTGAGCAGGCTCTCGCTGGGTGCAGGGAAGCCACAGAAGAGGCAGGCACTGAGGCCCGAGGCGGCTCCGTAGGGCTGATAGATGAGGGTGCTGGCATCAGGGCCTGGGCTGCCAGCCCCACTGCCGCCCCCAAAAGGCTCCTTGACTGCCTGGCCCAGTGGCTCACGCACATGCAGCTTGGCATGCTGCACGAAGGCTCGGGAGGAATTGGTGCCAAAGACACACTCAGGGCACTGCAGCCGTGCCTCCCGGCCCTCGTCACCTGGAACTTGCTTCAGCTTCTGAATCTCCTCAATGATCTTCTTCCTGGAGGCCTGGTGCAGCTGCCGGTGCTGCTCGAGTGCAGCAGGGTCAGCGAAGGCCCAGCCACACTCGCTGCAGGCCAGTGGGGCCAAGTCAGCGGGTGGCTCCTGGCCTGGGGCTCGGCGGTGCTGGCTCATGTGCTCCAGGAGGTGCTCTTTCTGCTTGAAGTAGATGCTGCACTCGATGCACGGGAACACGGCCGGCTCTTCGTCCTCATCCTCGTCCGGGCTGGCCACCCCTGCAGCCACCTCGTCCAGCAGCTCACACAGGTAGGGCCTGGTCCGGATGGGGGACAGCAGTGGCTGCAGCCGCTCCACAGACGCCTCTGAGTTCACCGTCCAGGTCTGCGTGGCCACTTCCGAGGCTGACATGGGCAGGACCCACTCAGATGGCTGGGCCAGCCCCTCGAGGTCCTCCGGGTCCTCCTGAGCATCCATTACTGCCATGTCCAATGTCTTAGGGGGGTCTTCCACCGGCAAGAACACCCTCCTGAAGGAGGGGGGAGGCAGGTCCATGTGCAGCCCTGTGTCCTGGGGGGGGACCTGCTCATCCTCATCTCTGAGCCAGGCGAATCTGCGGCGGCCCCGGGGGGCCTTCTCCAAGAGCTTGGGTTCACTCTGGTGGTGCAGGAACCTTCTAGAGCCCTCAAGCTCAGCACGGGGTTTCATGGTTCTCACAATGACTGAGTCCTTGAAACTTCGCTCAGATAGGATGCCCTCCCCGGCCTCCTGGACTATGGGGTGCTCCCACAGACCCTGGCCATCAGGCGGGCCAGGGAAGTGGCCCAGGAGATGGGGTGGTGGGGAGCCTGGCCGGAAGTCCAGGCTGCCTCCATCCCAGCAGCTGCAAGGAAGTGCCAATGGGGATAGGTTAGCCATGGGCCTCAGTGTCCCTTTCTAGTGTGGTGTTGGAAATCCTCCCAGGCTGTTTGAGGCAGGCCTCAGAGATACAGCGTGAGGGTGACCTCAGAGGAGCCAGGAGTATGGGGGTGGAGTGGGGAGGTGGGAGGAGTCCACATGGGCCCTTCCAGAACTGTTGGGTCAAAAGCCAGGTTCAACTCTTAGGATGCACCTGTTCATACAGCCCAGCTCCACTGCATCAGGGGGAATGTGTGGAGACCACACTTGGAGCTACATGGGGATAGGGCCACCTCTAAGGAGTGTCCCCAAGTCTGGTGGCACAGTCAACTCTCATCTCTCCCCCAGGAGGACCCATGGCTCTGACCTGTGCTCCAGGCTGCTTCTGTCTTAGTCCTCCCCAAACTGGGGTGACTTAGTTAATTTAGTTTCATCTTTCCCCCAATTTAGTGAAAGCTAATTTTGTGGCAGAACAGTCAGAAGGATGCACCTTTTCTCTGCATCTCCCCTCCTGGAGGGGCAGAGTCAGGAGTGATTAAAGGTCCCCACTCAGCCTCTGGCCCTAATGAGCCCGGACTTCTCAGGTGGGGGATGGAGATGGGGTGGGGCTGGAGAGGCAAGGCAGCCTCTCTGGGCCTCAGTTTTCCAATTCTAAAAATGGGGACGTTTGCCAGGACCCAGGAACCTCCTCATCCTTATACAATGTCTAAGGAGCTTTCTCACAGGCGCAATCAATGAAAACTTCACCCATGGCAGGTGCTTATTTAAATGCTCACAACCACAACCTTTCAAATGGGGATCTTGATCCCACGAGACATAGGGTGAAGATGACACAACTCGATGCTGGAGAAATGCTTTGCTTCACCTGATACCTGGCTCCTGGTAAGCCCGTGACCAATGTGGGTGCTTGTCATGACTGTTCCTGATTGATACTCCCTTCATTTTCAAGATCCTGCCTCTATGAGGGAGTATCGATCATACTCATGGAACAGATGAGGAAACGGGTTCTATCCAGATGTTGAGTGGAGACCACAGGGTCACCTCTCTAAGCCCCATCAGTGACATGCACTACTAATTAGACCATCCTCCAGGGCTGAGGCAAAGATTCAGTGGGGTAAACACGTGCTGAGAGCCTAGCACATAGCAGCTATTATTAATTGTGAGTTTATTAGTCCCGATAAGATTATTATTACATATTGGCACCTGCCATGCTGTTTAATAAAGTATAGTGTCTATCAGCATTGCTGTGGATTCCTGCTCTTGCCCAATGCCCCTTGGATCCTCAAGGCAAATTCGTGAGATGCATCTTATGGACTCCATTTTGCAGATGAGAAAACTGAGGCTAAGAGAGGCCTAGCGTCATTCTAAAGGTCACCTGGCAGAGAGACAGGACTCCAAAGGTGTGACCTCCAGGCTCTTGCCCCTCTGGCTCTGCTCCTGGCAGGGATAATGAGAGTTGACTGCCTGTGTTCATCCCAGACCTCCCCCCACCCCCAGCACACACCCAGGGACTTGCCTGCCGGGAGCTGCTGCCTCCTCCTGCCTGGCCTCCTGATTCCCTCCTGTTCCCTTCTCCTTCCCCAGGGGCTTCTCTTGGGCCTAGGCACATCCTGCTTGCCCCCCTGCCCTCCCTAAGGTCAGGGCCAGCATGGCACTCACCAGCTGCTGATCCGATGGGTGGCGGAGGTGGCACGGGGGAGGGCTTCGCTGAGGCCGGGATGGGGCTGCCCGTCTGCAACAGAGAGGGGAGACCCTGAGGGACTGGGGTCCCCCTGGCTGGGGCCCTCCGCACCCCAGCTCCAGGAGCCCTGCCGGGCGCCTTGGAAGGGCCCTGTTGGCTCCCAAACCCTCTCCCTGAGAGGCCTTTGGCCTCTTCATTCCTGAGCCCTGAAAGGGGTTTCTTTGGAGGAGTCCCTTTAGCTCTCCTGGGGGACCCCAGGGGCCTGCTGCCTTCCAAGCCTCCTCTCTTTTCCCCCACCAGGGGCAGCTGGGGCAATTTTTTTTAAAACTCACACCCTGGTTAAAAAAAAAACTCACCTGGCTTTTCATTATACCTACAATAAAAGCCAGATTTTACAAGGCCCTATGAGATCGGACCTCTACTGACCTCTCCAACCTCACCTCCCTCTCTTGGCCCCTCACTGCCTCCACCCTGACTGCATGCACCTCTTCATGAAGTCTCATGCCCACCTAAGTCTTTCCAACCTTAGGGCCTTTGTACTTGCTACTTTCTTTGCCCAGAGCACCCTTCCCTGGCCACCTACTCAAGTGAGCCCCTATGATTTCCTCTGTCAGTACCTGTTTCATGTCTTCCTTAGCACTCCCTGAAGTTGCCTGGCTCTTTCTCTAGATGACTGCTTGTCTAGGTCCCTTGCTAGCAGGGACTTTGTCAGCCTCATTCACTGCAGCATCCCAGTGTCCGGCATTCAGCAAGTGCTCAACAAATACTTGCCAGCTAGCTTCCAGGCCTAAGTCATAGAATGGGATCCCCTCCCGGGATACCCCCTCCCCCAACACAGATAGAGCCAACTCTCCATTATCTGCCTGTGGAGCCAGTGCCTGGAGTGAATACAGGAATCCTGGCCTGCGTGTCTCCTGCCTGCCACACTTGCCTGACGCGGGTGAGCATGCCAATCGGGGAGCAGGCCAGTTGCCTCAGCCAAGGTTAACACGCTGGGGGAACTTGTGCCCCGTCCAGAGCCCAACAGATGCAATTGCTGGATTAGCCTCAATTTGAGGATGGTCCAGAATCACAGCCAAGGCTGGGGCTAATTTTGTTTCCAATCCCCCACCATCCAATTTGCCCAGGAAATTGAGAGCTGACTGTCAGGAGTTAAGGAATGAAAACGGGATGGGAGGTGGTTAGAAAGGTGTGGTTGCTGCCTGAGGGTCTTTCTGCTGAGCTTGACAAAAGGCCTGTGACTGTTGCCTGGCCGCTGGAAGGTGAAGATCAGGGTGAAAATTTGCACTGTCTAGATAGAGCAATTTCTCAACCTTGGCACTACTGACATTAGAGCCGGATCATTCTCTATGGTGGGGGCTGTCCTGGGCATTGTAGGGTGTTGAGCAGCATCCCTGGCTTCGACCCACCAGATGCCAGTCCCTCCACACCCCATGGTCATGACAACCAAAAATGTTTCCAGGCATTACAAAAGTGTCCCCTGGGGCACAGAACTGCACCCATTTGAGAACTGATGGAGAGCAGGCCATGCTTGAGTGCAAGGGCTGGTATTAGGGTGGGGTGTTGGAGAAGGCAAGAGAGTTGGGGAAGTAAGGCCTGAACCAGCCAAGGGAGTGAGACCCCAGGAAACAGGGTCTCTTGAGAACACTCGAGTCAGAGATGCAAACCTCTCAGGAGAGAGCAACTGGTTCGCTGGTGACCAGCCCCAGCACAGCCTAGAGGTTTGGGTTGGAGGGACCCCAGCCTTCTGCTTCTGAGATTCTGGAAGCCCGAGCTCTCGAGATTCTGGGCACCCCAGATTTGACGATTCTGCAGTTGCTGTTGTCTAAGAATTCCACGAGCCAGGGGGCCTCATTGGCCTCTTTGTCTGAGCAGCTCCAGCGAGGCTCCTATTTTTAGTGGCAGCGACTTCAGAGGAAGCAGGCCAAACTGGGACCCGTCCATGTCCAAGATACTTTGGGGGTGAGGGGTTTGCCTCCACAGCCAATGGGGATCCAAAGTCCCTATGGTTCAGACGAAGTGCCCGGGACACAGCCTTTATCTGGGGTTCCTGAGAGGGTCTGTAAACGGTGGCAGCAAGGGGTGTTCGTGAGCCTTGAACCCAAAGCCTGGCAACCTGATAGAATGGCCAAGAACCTAGACTTTGGAGCCAGATGGATCTGAGTTCAAGACCTGAAGGGCCTGACTTTTCTGCTCCGAGCCTCTGTTTTCTCCTCTGTACGATGAGGACAGACACTGACCCAGTCTTGCAGGACCAGCAATGGGTGCCAATGAGATCACAGTAAATGTTCGATCCAGAGAAGTGGCGGTGGAGGGAGAGAAGGGTGGTGAGAGCCTTGGGGAGGTCATGGCTGGCTCAGTGTCATCCCAGAGTGGACGCTGGAGGCTGGTTCCAGGAGCCTCAGGCCCCCTAATTCCATGTTCTGATTTCCTCCCTAGCCTGGGGCCCCCCAAGGGCAGAAATGATGTGTGGTTTGTCCCTGGGTCCCCTGTCCCCAACACAATGGCAGGCACGCACCAGACTCTTTATCGATCCATGCAGAATATCTCAGCCCCACTGAGCCTTTGCAGCACCTGGAAGGCCCAACCAGAGACGCATCTTGGGCAGGGGCTGCAGGGAGGTGTGGGGGTTCCAGGCCAGAAGCCATAATGGAGGACAGAGGAAACACTGGACACATCCGTGTCCAAGCAGAGAACTTTGGAGGTGGCTGCTTCACAGTGTCCTTGGGGGGCTCCAGGGGCTGAGTGGGGATAAGGGAGGGCCCCAGCTTTGGGGTGTAATGGCAACCCCGGAGGCTGTTCCTATTTATAGACATCACAAGACTCCTAGAGGTCCGTGTCCAAGCAGAGAACTTTGGAGGTGGCTGCTTCACAGTGTCCTTGGGGGGCTCCAGGGGCTGAGTGGGGA